AGAAGCACAAAGAAAGTTATGAGGAATTCAGAAGCTCAGGATTTGACAGGAAGATAACGAGTGGATGCACGTGGACCAGTCAGGTCGAGAAGATTTGTATCTCAGTTGGATAATTTTGATGTTGGTTTGTTCTCTGAGCTGAATGGTTTTGTCGTGCAGCTTTCATCGTCCTTCTGAATGACATCATCAGCGAAAAGTTCGGGTAGAAGTAAAATGTTTGAACTTCTCCACATGTAATTTACAGCTTGTCCTGTACACCTTGATGTTGATTGGTTTTTGTTGACCTTAAATCTGTCATTGTTTATTTCTTTGTTTTAGTTGTATCTCCTATTGCTTTGATTTTTGTTCCTATGTTTCTGCATTTTGAGTTATTTCACTCAAATTCTCTAACCATTGGTAACGATAATGAGGCAAACCTCAACCGGATGGTCTATATCTATTAATGTAGTTCATTCCAATATTCAGTGACTTTGTGAACTGATGCCATTTCTTGGTTTGACCACTCCTAGCTTTCTTTCAACCTAAATCTACACCAGCTAACGTCACTAGTGTGTCCACTGTTTTTCGTATTCTTGTAATGGTCATTTCGTAACTACTAGAAGTACGTTTTGAAGTGATCTGGGGATTGGTAATACATACATTACACTCAGTATTATTGTTGATTACAATTGGTATCGTAATAGAGAGAGAGAGCTATTATATAAACATAAAAGAACCCTGGAAATGCTCCCTTGACATTTCCAGTGAACATAATTATGAATGAAAAACTAAAACCATTGAAGTACAGAAAAGTACAGAAAAAAAAACACGGAAAGTGAAATGCCTCCAGAAAACGGATAGGCACAAAAAGTAAATCATATTCTTTAAAAAAATGAATGTTACAATTTCCGAAGAATCTCTCGACGACGTCTATAGAAGTCAGGCAAAAGCTAGGGAAACTTCGTTCAATTAGTATATGTCACAAAATCATCCAGAAAATTGAGGGCCTATGTGCCATACTATAACTGAATGATTCCTAATTTTGGTTCTACACACCGAAGGTTACCAATGAACTCATAATTACAGTTGTTTTATGTATATTAACGAATTATGAAGTGAGGCCTCTCTCTTAACACTGAGCCTATTTTATATCACAAGTGTGAGAGGACTCAGGAAATCTAGAATGCGGTAATGAAATCAGTGTCAAGCTTTTGAGTTGCTCAGTTGCCAAACAAGAACTCCTTTTCCTGAAAACTTTGACTGATTCGCAAGATTCTAAAGTTTCGTTACTTTGGATGTATATCTTAGGTATTTCAGTCAACATTTCACCTTCTATTGAATCTAGTAAATACTCGATTATTTAATTATCCATAATTCAAAATATGACGATTTTTAATAACTAAGCATTATAAGCAAAGATGGATAGTGGATAGCAGTGGAATAAAGGACGCGGGTTTCGTCTTATTTCGGACTCGTCAGGTGAATGTACCTGCATCTTAGAGTTGATGTTCACTCTGTGCGCTCGAACCCAGTACTTTTCACTATATCGAGGCGATACGCACATAATGCACATATGCCAATTAGAGACTGACCAATTGCAGTCTTAAACATCAATGGGAAGATTCAAACAAACAATACCAAGTAAATTTACAATTCCCCTATTGTGCAAGCAAAAGTATATCAGGACTCAGTAGCGATGGCATTTGAAGCGAAAGGTACTGGGTTCGAGTCCCAGAGTGAACATCTTGATATCTTGATAACAACGTGCAAAGTTACCAATAATATACCAAAAACAATTAACACTACAAACCTAAGCGTATGTCTATGAATAGCGCGAAAGTTAACAAATTACAGTTACAATATAAAATGGTAATATTATGCAACAAATGGTAATAGTTGTTATGACATGAATGTTACTTGTAAGCTACTCTCTAAGATGACAACCACAAATAAGTTCACTTGATTAACAAAGGTTCCTCTACACGTGATGGCACCAACAGCAAAATGAAGAAGATTAAATCTTGTAGTATGATTTAATAATGATCGGGGCAAAAGCTCCAAAATAGTGTGGGAAGGCCTAAAAAGATGCTGTAATACTATTATAACCTTGAATCAAGGGCCGTGACCAATAAAGCAGAAGAATGAGCGGCGGAGAGAGCGTTTTACATGTTAAGAATCGCCGCAGTGCAGAGTATGTTAGATATAACCAATCAATAAATCTTTGTAAATGTTCAGAACTTGAATCATTTGTGAATATTTCATCAATTTAAGTCCATTATTGGAATTCACAAGTTGTAATGTAGGTTTCGCCTGCAAAACGGACAGCCATAACATTGACCAGTGATACATACTGATCAACAACAATTTAACTTGATCGTTGAAATCATGAGTCAGTTGAAGCTAGACCATCAAGGAAAACCTGGAACCACTGGACGGCCGTTTTGTCCTATTGTGGGACTTGAGCAATGATCAAGATAATTGGTAACATATATTGGTTCAGGAAGCACGATTTTCTTTAGATTAGTTTCAGTCTGAAGCAAGTACACGGTAACTGAACAAAGAATCTTTTGTTGTATTTCAAACAAATACAAATTGATTTATATACAAGAATGATCAGACAGGACTACACCTCAAATAAGCGACCATAATTTATGAATAACGGAGCTATAAATGATAGGAAATTGCACAACAAGTGAACGATCAGTTAATAGTAGTTAAGAGACACTATTCCATATAACAACAGTTAGTGAGTCTTAGCTTCAGGCAACAGTACAGACTACTTAATTACTTGCTTACGCCTGTTACCACTCGTCGAGGAGCATAGGCCGCTCATCAGCATTCTCCATTCAACCCTGTCCTGGACAATCCTTTCCAGTTCTTTTCAGTTGTTATTCATTCCTTTCATATCTGCTTCAATTTACCGGCGTAATGTGTTCTTTGGCCTTCCACTTTCTCGTTCCCCTTCCGGATTCCAAGTTAGGGATTGCTTCGAAATGTTGTTTGGTGATTACCGTAATGCATGTCCGATCCACTTCCAAAGTCTTTTCCTAATTTCATCTCCAACTGAAAGCTGGTTTGTCCTCTCCCATAAAACGCTGTTGATGATATTATCCGGAAAGTGCGTGTTGAGTATTTTGCGTTAACAACTGTTTATAAATACTTGTACCTTCATGACGATGTACGTTTCAGCTTCGTACAGTAGGACTGTCTTGACGTTCGTATTAAAGATTCTCACATTGAAATTAGGTGACAGTTATTTTGAGTTCCATAGATTTGTCAGTTGTAGGGATGCGGACCTTGCTTTGCCAATCCACGCCTTTACATCTGCATTAGATCCTCCTTGTTCATCAACGATGCTTCCCAGGTACGTGAATGTTTCCACCTCTTCCAGAGTTTCTCCATCAAGTGTGACTGGTTTGGTGTTCTCCGTGTAGTATTTGAGAATCTTGCTTTTTCCTTTGTGTATGTTGAGGCCTATTGATACAGAAGCTGCTGCTTCTACATTTGCTGTCTTCGTCTGTATTTGTTCGTGTCTAGGTTAGCATGTATTGACAGATTCACTTGGCTAATCTTATTATTTAATCAATTTGATTTATCCTACTCACAAGTAGGTAAAATAGTTTTTAAGTAGGTGTTGAAGTATAAGCTATCATTTGAACTACTTGATCCATTTGAAGAACTTCAACGAGGAAAAAAGAACTATTCAATCTTCAGTTATTCCGACATATCTGATTAGCTCTTATTTGAAAATATCATTTTTTTTAGAAATGAATTTTAAACATGCACACACACACACACTCACACTCATAAACACACATCTATCTATATTACACAGCAGGGTAACTTAGTAATACATTTCATGTAGTCCTGACATATCACCACCCCATTTTGCACAACAAATTTAGTTGTTCAATTCTTTCTCCCCCTTTTCGTATTCTATCTTTTTTTACTTTTTTTCTTTTTTTCTTTTTTTGTTCTTCTTCTTCTTCTTCTTACAACTTCCCTTCTTTTGTTAATAAACATTGTCTTGTATATTTGTTAGCTTCATGATTATTATACATGGTCATGGTTAGTCTCTCTCCTTGTTCTTCATCTTCTTCTTCTCCCACTTCTCCCTCCTTGTAGTAGCAGTAGTACGGGATTGAGCCGTACTGTTTAGTTTGTCACGTGAAAGTCTGGATGAGGTCCGGTTCTCCTGAAAATCAATGTAAAATTATCCGAGCTCACAAGGGCATATTATATAACTGTGAAGTAACTGTGAAATTCAGATTTCACTAACAGGTTCTGTAATTTTGTGTTCAAATACATTTGATTACTCCCATTCACTACATCCCCAGTATTGAGAAGACAGCTTTCAGATCACCTGGCAAATATGTATTTAATCAGTCAGTCAGTAACACACCATAGTGATGGAGTGAATTGGACTTATGACAGAGCATAATGGTAGTAAGATTTTAAATTCAAGTGATCCTCAATAGATTGGTTCCATGGCTAATAGTATCTTTTGATAAATTATGTAATTTTATCTCTTTAGATCAAAAATTCTTCACTGAATGATTAGTTATCATTCAATGTTCAAAATTCAAAAGATCTAATCTATTTGAAGAACTAGTTTGATTAGCTCCGAAACGATTATATTGATTGGTTGAAGTTACAAATTAACACTGTTGGGTGCCGGCAAGCAAGTTCAGTAGTCTGGTGGTTAAATGCTCGCGCGCGAGACTGATAGGTCCTGGTTTGGAATCTCGTGAGACGAGATCGTAGATGCGCACTGCCACTGAGGAGTCCTACAATAGGACGAAACGGCCATCCAGTGCAGCGCTTACATGTTTTCCATGGTGGTCTAACTTCAATTGATTCATAATCTGAACTATTGAAATATTCAAAATTAATTTAATGTATTTACATGTCACTTATCTTTTCATACAACCACACCAATTTTCAGTGATATTATTCAAACTACTTATTTAACGATCAAGTAGTAGTATTATATCAAGTTTAAAAAATACCATAAAAATCAGTGTTTAATAAACGCATTTACATATTCTTCTTTTTCAATTATTGATAATACCCTTTCATCTATACCTCAATTAAGTCCATCATTAAGTTCAATTAATGGACATGACGGTGAATCATTATCATCTAATAAAAATGATAATATAACTCAAACTATATCAGTGATGTATTCAGAACAATCTACAATAAATAAAAACGGACCAATTGAAGAAGAAGAAGAAGAAAAACGACGAGAAAAGATTAAAGAAGAAAACGAGTCAATGCAACCTAAAACGGTATCCAATGGTGAAACGGATCATGTTACTATGGCAGCAAACGAGGAAAGGGAAGAAAAACGAAAAGAAGAACAAAGTTCAATCGGAACTTCTGAAATTGAAGTTGACAATGATAAAGATAATAAGAATAAGAAGACTATGTGCCTTAATAATTCATTTATATATCATAATGGATCAAGTTCACTATGTAATCAATCCATTCATGAAACAATCATTGAACAACGTTTTCTTTCTTTTTTAAAATACAAGATGATATACTACTTACTATTTAAAATGAAAAACCCGAACTATATATATATATATATACTGTTCTAAAAAATAACTTTCAAGGAGACTATAATCTATGGATGAGCCAATCGGATTGAAGATAACAGATCTTGGATTTCAGCGCGAAATTCATTCATCCATTTGGCTTAATAGAGTTTTGGCATTATGGCTAAGGTCAATTCGTGATGAAAACCGCAAATCTAATTCTTAACTCTAACCATCAACTGTAAATCTTAATCCTAATTCCTCGAACTGATTTATAACCCTCATTTAGTCTTAGTTACCAGGTGAACACTCTCAAGGTCATTCGGACGTCTATGAAAGATCATCCATAAATCCTAGTCTTACCCTAACTTTCTTCAAAATGATTATGTAATAATTTGATCAGAATGTACCATTACTTCTATTACATTCTGTAATGTCTACTTTGAGAAAAAGTGTCCTTTCTTTTCTTGTTTTTTTTTCCATTTTTCCTGTAAACTGAACGATCAAACCATGAACTGATGTATTCAGTCAATCAGGTTATGCAATATTGTATATAGTACTGTGTAGCTCAAGGTATATATCTACCTATACATATAATGAATAGGAAAATACTATTGTAAATTGTAATACTACTACTACTACCACTACCATTACTACTACTACTACTACTACCATTACTACTACTACTACTACTACTACTACTACTACTACTACTACTACTACTACTACTATTGATTAATTATTGATTTATGAACTTTTTAACTACTTATTTACTGAATTGATAGTAATATGTATAATATAAACAAAATTGTTTTTTGTTTAATCATTCAATTGGCTAGATATTCTATCTTATTATGATGATGATGATGATGGGTTATTTTTCTTGCATTCTGCATTTTGCATTTCTGTTTATGTATCTATATCTATATGCTTTGACTCTTCTTTTTACCCCAATGAAACGTATGTAGATGTATATAAACATATACATATATCCATTCGAAATATGGTATTTGTTTATAAGATTGTTTCTATATTGATAAGGATTGTTTCAATGACACTTATGATTATGATTACTATGTTTAAAGAATTCAATTGTCATAGAGTTAGTAACTTAGTCAAGACTATTATGAATAGTTATCGATGGGTCCTGGGTTCAAATCTTGAGGAGCAGGATCGTGGATGTGCACTGGCATTGAGGAGTCCCATAATAGGACGAAATGGACGTCCAGTGTTTCCAGGTTTTTCAAAGTGGTCTAGCTTCAATTGACTCATGATTTCAATTATATAAAACTATTAAAATTCGCACAAAACCCCCTACTGATAATGACCAACTGCTCACTAGTGACTGGCTCCATGATGTATTTCCTGGAGTTCTAGTGAGAAGCAGTAACCAGTGGGGTTCAACCAAGCCTGTTGGGAGATATCAACTGACTGGAGACATTGGTGAATAGTTGATCAATTTCGTTAATTGGTTGAAGTTAGACATTAACACCGTTGGATGCCAGCCGGCTCAGTAGTCTTGTGGTTAAGCGCTCGCGCACGTGACTGTTAGGTCCTGAGTTCGAATCTCGCGAGGTGGGATCGTGGATGCGCACTGCCACTGAGGAGTCCCACCATAGGACGAAACGGCCATCCAGTGCTTCCAGGTTTTTCATGGTGGTTTAGCTTCAATTGACTCATGATTTCAAATATGTAATATTATGAATATGTTATATAGACACTAATTGGTTGTGAATAGGTATAAATAAATGACAATTTAAATAAAAAGTCCTATATACTCCTAATTAAGGCATATATAGCATAGCATTTATCAGATTTTTGAGAATATTGCAAGTTGAAACCATATTAGAAGTGTGGTGTTTACTATTTATATCGATATGAGTAGGATATAACGATAGTCAGTATTAGAATATATGGATCCAAAAGGTCGAGAAGATTGTAAAGGAAAGAACGGGAACAGAAAGCAAGTCGTTTGAAAATGCAGGAACAATGAAGTCTGAGATGATTGATTGACATTTTGCAAATGAAGTGTTTACTGTGTAGTGATCAGCTTGTCTCGATGAGAACACGATTGGAATAATAGAAACAATTATTATTATTATTGTAACCAATTGTACCAGCGATTGTCTTACTGTACTTGTTTAACTGTATCAGACTCACTTCTGGTTCCGCTATCCGACTTGTTTGGTTCGAACTTCTTACGCTCTGCCCATTTTGCCTATACTCGTTGACACGTCTCGGTATTCTTTCGATACCACGAGATCGCCAATAAATATACTTTGTCTGAACTGAATAAGGTTTTCTGGCTCGCAAGTTATCAAAGGAACCAAGTCGATTCTGGGCGCGTAATCGAATTGTAGTGGTGATCATAGTCCGTCCTCGACTAAACGCCTACTACAACTGTATAGTTCTCTGATTTAACTGAAATGTTCTGTAATTTTGTGTTCAACTACATTTGATTGTCCCTACTTGAGTTCTCGTTCACTACAGAAGAAGAGGTTGAAAATTTTTCCTTTTTCATCTATAATTCTACCTTCTCTAGAAGTATGAAGACAGTTCTAACGGTCTAAAGAAGATGGGCGCTCACTGTGTTTGGTAGATTTCTATTCATTTTGTTTATAGTGTGTTTGATTATTAACTCCGCCTGTAGCTCCTCCAGGGGCTACTGCCGGTCCCAAGCCCGGGTAAAGGAGGAGGGTTGGGCATGGGGTTAGCGACCCCATCCCGTAGAAAATCAACTCGCTAAAAAACGCTAACCAGAAAAAATCATTCAAACCATTCAAACTCTGCCCTGGGAGTAGAAGGAAAAATGACGTCTCATGATGAAAGCCGAGTTCATTCGGAAGTCATGAGGCCGATGCACCTTCTTACAACCAGAGCGACAATTTTTATAGGTACATGGAATGTCCGGACAATGTGGGAGACTGGCAGAGTCTTCCAAATTTCTGCGGAAATGAGGAAATACAACCTGGAAGTGCTTGGAATCAGTGAAACACATTGGACGCAGGTTGGACAACAACGACTGTCTTCAGGGGAACTTCTTTTATACTCCGGTCATGAAGAAGAAAATGCCCCACATACACAAGGAGTGGCACTGATGCTGTCTAGAAAAGCACAAAATGCACTTATAGGATGGGAATCTCATGGACCGAGGATCATCAAAGCCTCCTTCAGAACAAAGAGAGAGGGCATTACAATGAACATCATCCAATGCTATGCGCCGACCAACGACTACGATGAAGACGCTAAAGACCAATTCTACGATAGGCTGCAGTCAATCTTCGAGAAGTGCCCAACCAAGGACCTGACCATTCTAATGGGAGATTTCAATGCCAAGGTTGGAAAGGACAACACTGGATACGAAGACGTCATGGGACAACATGGACTGGGAGAAAGGAACGAAAACGGTGAGAGATTTGCAAACCTATGTGCCTTCAATAAACTGGTCATAGGTGGCACCATATTCCCACACAAAAACATACACAAAGCCACTTGGATTTCACCGGATCACACTACACAAAATCAAATCGACCATGTCTGCATCAACAAAAAGTTCAGGAGGACGATGGAGGATGTGAGAACCAGAAGAGGAGCTGATATAGCATCCGATCACCATTTGCTGGTCGCCAAGATGAAACTAAAACTCAAGAAGCACTGGACAACGGCGCGGACAACATCACAAAAGTTTAACACGGCCTTTCTTCGAGATGCTGACAAACTCAACGAATTTAACATAGCCCTCAGCAACAGGTTCGAGGCCTTTCATGACCTACTCAATGGAGAGGGAACCACCATAGAGAGCAGCTGGAAAGGTATCAAGGAGGCAATCGTTTCAACATGTCAGGAGGTTCTGGGCCAAAAGAAGCACCATCACAAGGAATGGATCACTGTTGGTACACTGGATAAAATTGAAGCAAGGAGGAACAAGAAGGTAGCAATCAATATCAGCCGAACAAGAGCGGAAAAAGCCAAGGCACAAGCCGAATACACAGAGGCAAACAAGCAAGTGAAGAGGAGCATCAGGACCGACAAACGTAAATATGTGGAAGATTTAGCGATGACAGCGGAAAAGGCTGCAAGAGAGGGAAACATGAGACAACTGTATGATACAACAAAGAAACTTGCTGGAAATTACCGTAAACCAGAAAGACCAGTGAAAAACAAGGAAGGCAAAGTAATCAACGATATTGAAGAACAACGAAACAGGTGGGTAGAACACTTCAAGGAACTCTTGAATCGACCAGCTCCACTGAACCCACCCAACATCGAAGCAGCACCCACAGACCTCCCAATCGATATTGGCCCACCAACAATTGAAGAGATTAGCATAGCGATTAGACAAATCAAGAGCGGCAAAGCAGCAGGACCAGACAACATCCCGGCAGAGGCACTGAAAGCAAATGTAGCAGCAACTGCCAAGATACTCCACATCCTCTTCAGTAAGATTTGGGACGAAGAACAAGTACCAACAGACTGGAAAGAAGAACTTCTCATCAAGATACCAAAGAAAGGTGATCTGAGCAAATGTGACAACTACAGGGGCATCACTCTTCTCTCAATACCAGGAAAAGTCTTCAACCGAGTATTGTTAAACAGGATGAAGGATTCCGTGGACGCCCAACTTCGAGATCAACAAGCTGGATTTCGTAAGGATAGATCGTGCACAGATCAAATCGCAACTCTGCGGATCATTGTGGAACAATCAATCGAATGGAATTCATCACTCTACATCAACTTCATCGACTACGAGAAGGCATTTGATAGCGTGGACAGGACGACACTATGGAGGCTTCTTCGACACTACGGCGTGCCTGAGAAGATAGTCAATATCATACGGAACTCCTATGATG